AATTGATCAATTTCTGCATTACCTTGTGCTAGAGGACCTGGAAGATATGTATGGGATTGGATATGTGTTATATATATATGTAATGATTCATATTCCTTATTGTATCTTTTAACTGAATAAATAATAAAGTCAAATCTGTATCATCCGGTATAATTTGGCGGTTTCAATATACAACACAACTCCTTTGGCATACTGCGAATCAGTTGAGAGGTTCTTTAAAATCCCTTACTACCATGAGAATAGCATATAATTCTGACGTTTGTACAGGATCATAAGGACTTTAATCCACTTTACTTAAATTTTCTGACTTGTAACCTGCCTTCCTGATTTATATGCATCAGTGTAGAATGTAGGAGCTCCAGTTATTGGTGTGTCCAATATAATTCAAGGAAGAATCCAGTTAGTTCTCTTTATAAGTTGAATTCACTTGCTTTTAGGACAAATATTGTTAATCTCTCCAAAAAATTACTACAAGTTCTTTGCCAGGGTTCACTTTCTTCCCATAATTTGTCAATTCCCTCATTATTAAAAGAGAATTATAATTTTTGCTGGGTCTATTACTGCTAATTGGCAAAGCCTCTGTTTTTCTTTTATAATTAACTCAGAGTCCTTTTCCACACAAATTTTTAATTTTTTACTCAGCTTATGTGGTAAGAAGATCCATTTTAAGATAACATCTTCCCTCTGCATTAAAATTCCTGTAGGGAAATGTTTGGAGGGTAATATGACCAGAATGCAGTTAAGATTCAGATCCACATGATCCGCATGTGTTTTCTCTTCAATTGAAGCCAATTCTCTCTCAGCTTCATCTAATAATTCCCTGGGACTGTTTAAGCCTTGTTACCATCTATGGTTTTGTTTAAATGAATCAGTCCAACAGATTTTATCCCAATAGTGAGCCATAGTTGGGAATTGTCTCCTAGCAATTTTTGGAAGTCATTAAGAGTCTGCAATTGATCTCTCCTAATTTGCACCTCTTGGGGTCTAATTTTTGCAAACCTAATTTATAGTCTAAAAAATTAACAGAATCTCTTCTTCGTATTTTTAGGAGCAATTTATAATCCCCAACAAGGCAAAATTTCCTTTACTTTTTCAAACATTCTTTCTAAAGCATCTACATTTGAATCAGATAGTAAAATGTCATCCATGTAATAGTAAACTATAGATTCAGAAAATTGCTTGCATATCATTTACAGTGACTGACTGACAAAATATTGGCACAGGGTGAGGCTATTTCCTGTGGGAGAATCTTCCATTGATATCTTCTAGCAGGCTGAGAATTAATACAAGTAGGCACCATGAATACAAATTTTCTATCTTTTTCCTATAAAGGTATAATGAAAAAAAACAATCTTTTAAATAAATAACTGTAAGAGGCCATCCTTTAGGTATTAGAGTAGGCAAAGGATTCCAGATTGTAGAGAGCCCATTGGCTGAATCACCTTAGTAGCAGCTCTTAAATCTGTTGCCATTCTCCATTTTCCAGATTCCTTTTTAAGAACAAATACAGAATTCCAAGGGCTGGTTGATTCTTGAATATGCTGAGTATCTAGTTGCTCCTGTAACAGTTGTTCTAAAACCTGCAGTTTCTCTGTTGTTAAAGGCCATTATAGTAATAAGGGGCTACGGGGCTGTGTTCCCAGCACCCGGGCCACCTGCACGGCTAGCTTATGCCCAAAATAACAACACACAAACTGCATTCATTTAAACACTGCTTGGCCCATTCTCTTCTAGGCTAATTCTCACATATTAATTTAGCCCATTTCTAATCATCTGTGTGTAGCACCCCAAGGTGCGCTTACCGGGAAGATTCTAGCCTATGTCCATCCTGGGTTGGAGCTTCATCCCGGGAGCAGGGCATGCCGTCTCTCTCAGGCGTCTGCTCCAGAGAGGAGAGCTGTCGAGACTGAGCTCACTTCCTCTTCCTCCCAGCGTCCTGTTCTGCCTACTCCTCCCACCTATCTTCCAACCAATAAAATGGGCCAAGGCAGTTCCTTTATTAGCCAATGACCTTTCTCCATCAGGCCATTGCTTTTTGTCTGTCAACTCTTTTAAAAGTAGGGCTATTGGTGCCTTTGAAAGATCAGCAGCTGCTGTGCCCTGTTCTTGTACAACCTGAATAGTTGGTTACTGTTCTTTATAATATCTTATAATATTTTCCCAGAAACATACATTAATTTATGATTTGTTTTGAAGATTGGGAAAATGTCAATCTGTGTATTTCATTGCTATAACAAATTATGTCCCCACAAATTCATTACTATGTTAGCCACATATGGTCTCACTATTTCTCTCTGTTCCTCTAGCCATATACATTTGACCAATCTTGCTTTCTGTTTTACCTGAGATAAAGTTCTGATTCCTAAAAACTAAACATTTATATCCTAAAAAGGTCAATTTGAATGCCAGTTTGTGATGAAATTATTGTTACATTTGCACCTGTGTCTATGAGACCTTCAATGACAATGCCATTTATTTGTATTTTTAATTTTGGTCTTTGTTCATTTATAGAAGTTTGCCAAAATACTCGATTTATGGTTTCTCCTGAATTTTTTGTTCTCTCTTCTATAGCTGTTCTATTATCCAAAGCAGTATAGTTTCTTACAATAGGCATTAGGTTCTTTAATTGCTCTGGGAAGGAGTTTCCTCCATGATGGGAGGAAATGACCAAACCGGATTTGGCATACGGACCTGCAAGAGGTCCCTCATGGAGTTTCCCAATGACAAAGGATTACCTTGACTCTCCCTTGCTGACCTACATTTATCAGTTCAGTGCCTGCCTTTTACACACCTTCTGCATAATCCAAAGGGAGGGTGTTCTGAAATGGATTATTATTATAAAAAAATGTTTCTAGGAATGCCCTGTCTACAATCCCTTTTAAGGTGAACTTGTTTGCCACAATTATAACATTTGACATTTTAATTATTTCTCAAACCATCTAGAAATAGCCATCAGACTTTCCTGTATGTGCTCTTGCTAGCCAGTGCTGGCAATCAGCCAAGTCCCCACAGGCATTTCCAGCTGTGCTCTTCTATCAGGCTTCCAACTGGCAGCACCTCTGGCTCTGGCCGCCAGACCTTACTCCACTCACATTCATTGCAAGCAAGAAGAGTTAAGGGATTAACACTCTCCCATACACACGTGTGTGTGTGCGTGCATACACGCGCGTGTGTGTATGTATTATATAGCCTCAGTTGTGTGACTGTGTGAAAATGGTGCATGTGTACTCCTTCTGCCCCTGGATGATATTCAGGTGTGTGGTATTCACTGTCTCCCAGCAGAATCAAGATCCAGAACTTCACAGGGCACTCCCATGATCTGACATCTGCCTCCATTCCCCAGGTAAATCCCTCTAGCTGTAGGTATTTTGTGGGATGCTTTCTCACTTGAGTTCTTTGGGAGTGATACTGAGGATAAAGTCTAGGGCCTCACGCAAGCTAAGCAAGTGCTCAGTCACTAAACTGTAGCCCCAATCCTTGTTCAGCCATTTATTTTATCAACAAAGGTCTTGGTAAGTGATTTGGGCTGTCCTTAAACTTACTCTGTAGCTCAGGCTCCCCTTGAACTCACAAGCTTGTTGCTTCTGCCTTCTGAGTAGAAAGAACTATAAGTGTACACCACCAAGCTCATCTTCCTCTCTAATTTTTTCCAAGACAGGGTTTCTCTGCATAACAGCACTGGTTGTCCTGAAAGTCACTCTGTAGACCAGGCTGGTCTTGAACTCACAGAGATCCGCCTGCCTCTGCCTCCAGAGTGCTGGAATTAAATAAAGGCATGTATTACCACCACCCGGCTTTTCTAAAATCTTTATCTTAGAATCACTTCAAGTAGAAGTCAAATGTCTATAAATATATCAATAAATTATTGTGATAAATATGTAAAACTTAGATATGTACAATTTATTAATTCAGCATTGTTTGGGAGAGCAAGAAGTTGAAATAATATATGCAAAGGAGACAGGTTAAATACATTGATATAGTGACATGGGGAGTACTGTACTCTGCAGCTACAGTTCTTTATAGCTTATAAAATTATTTGAGCATATTAATAAAAAGACAAGATACATAATAGTACAAAAATATGTTACCGTTTGTTTAAAACTGCGTGTGTGTGTGTGTGTGTGTGTGTGTGTGTGTGTGTGTGTGTACAGATACCTACAATCTTTCTGAAGTAGGTTCTAACCATACAGCCTTGAACACCCCTGAGGAGGGAGTCTTTCACGATTACACTTTTCAGATTGGTTTTTGCTTTGCCTTGGTTCTCAGTGCTGTAAACTGAGCCCAAGGCCTTACACCAGGTGAGTTCTCTGCCATGAGCTACATTCCCAGCCTTTGCCATACATTCTCGAATGTCTTTCGGTTTTTGTACTGTGGACAGGTTAATCAATTTAAATATCTAAATTAATATTAAAATAATACATAACTGGGTAGTGGGAGATTTCTCAGATTTCCTGGGTTTGGAGTGACAGATGGTTGAGAGCTGCTATGTGGTTACTGGGAATTGAACCCAGGTCCTCTGCAAGAGCAACAAGTGCCCTTAACCGCTGAGCCATCTCTCCAATCCCTGGGAGATGTCTCATTCTTCACTGGACATTTTTGTTGGGCCACCCATTCTCTAGTCCAAGTCCAGCTTCTCTTGTATTCTCAGTACCTGGACTCTTGCAAGTCTGCAGTTCATCCATGCAAGAAAATACTTCCTTCAGAGAGGACAGCCACAGCATCTCACTATCCTTGCCCACAGGGTCCCATCATCTTGCCCAGAGAAAAGTCCATTAGCATTTGCCCTGACACAGTGGGAAACCCAAAAGATTCCTTTCCCTTGATGCGAGAGGATGCATTCAAGGCATTGCCCACATGCAGGAAATGTCTGAGCCCCACCACACACACACACACACACACACACACACACAAACCATTCCTGTACAAGACACACTGCAACAGTCTCCTAGAGGGCATGTCTGTCCATCAGCCGTGGGACCTGGGTGTTGGTCTGACCAGAC